TTGACTGGTCTTGTGACCCCTTGTTCTCCCCCACTTTGCCTATGGGGGTGTGTCAAATTATGATGTTGTCTAGGCTTTAGTGGGGTAGCCCATATGGGGTACACTTTTCTAGGGTTGCATATTTTGTATCACTTTCATTCCATAGTCATTTCATTCTCGTTCTACTTTCCTCACACAGATGTATATATGGGCTGCTGCGGGTGTGTATAGGGGAAGGCACGGTAAGGGGCATAATGGAGCGTTACGAGGCGTGCTGCGGACTGGGCAAGATACGAACGGGACGAGATGCGTTACGGGCGATATGGGAAGCTTTTTCCTTAAGCTATGAAGGAACTAACCTACTACTGATAGCATCTTAGAATCTAGGCGCTAAGTTAGGTGTGTGGTAAATGTGACTTAGGAGGAGAGAGGGGTAGTACAAAGAGAATGTCGAGAAGTTTGGTGCAACCCACTAAAGCATATCGAAACTAGCAAAGGTACCGGTAGTTTGACAAACACACCCCACCGCAAACCCCTCCTCACCCTTCCCCCCCTCCCTCCCTCTCTCTCCTCCCCCTCGTCTCCCTATTCTTGTCTATGCCAGTTACATTGAACTCCTGCTTGGTGCCATTGTGTCGATACACAGCTTGGTGCCATTGTGTCGATACACAGCTTGGTGCCATTGTGTCGATACACAGCTTGGTGCCATTGTGTCGATACACTGCTTGGTGCCATTCAGGGCCTCAGATATCAGGAAAAAAACCCTGAAATTCCTGATTTTGGCAGCCGATTTTTAAGCTACCCTGAACTTTCAGAGTTGGGATTTTTGTTGGACTGATCTTTCAGGTTTTTTTTTTTGGCCACACTGATTTTCCAGGTTTTTTTCCCGTGGAACACTGATGCCACTACGTTGTAACGAAACCGACACTGAAAGCGAATCTCACCTGTGCCATGTTACCTCGCCCGCAATTACAGGGAATCTCACATTCCCTGTACGTGGGCACCCCGGGGCAGGACCAATGTTGCCTCAGGTTCACTTTGGCTGGTGTTTTTTTGGCGCGTCGCCTCTCACACCATTGGGCAGTTTCGCTGCAGCATCCAGTGTTGGCCAGTCCTAACTTGGCAGACATGTGGTGCTGGCGGGCTGCCAAGGTTCCTGCCCCGTACCCATCATGTGCGGTGCGTTAGGGTTGGGCTGTGCTGGCAAGCACCGTGCCATCCTTCTTGAAGTCGGGGTGAGATGATGATGCCTCCACGCCGCCCAGCCCACCCACCGTTTCCGCCACCCTTCTTGTCCAACCTTTGCATCAGAACCAGGGTTTCCCTCGTTCACCCTAGTGTACGAGGAGGCAGCCAGCCGAGGCCTGAGTTTTGCGCTTGCAATCCCTTGCCTTCGCAGTTGTCTCTAGGTTAGATGCGAGGCCGTACGCGCTGCTTACCATGGCGGAGCAGCTTGATGGCACGGAAAGAAACGGCGACCACGCCGGTGCTGCGCATCGCCAGCCGCATGTAGACCGTACAGAAGCTGTGACCGGCATCGACCTGTTGTTTTCAGGCTTAGCGCAGGTCAACGTCAATGAGAGGCAACCTGAACTAGAGCCGCCAGACAAGATACCGTTCGAGCACATAGATCTGGAGCCGCTCTGTGCGTCCCCGTCAGCGCCAGACATCGAGCAAGACAGTTCACCGCCTCCAGCTGACAATACCACTCCTGAACCAGAGGCCAAGAAAACCGGCCGATACACGCAGTCAACGCTGCCATTCATTCCTAAGGCCGCAGTCGACGGGGCTACTGTGCCTGCGCCAACCGACCAACGGTCGTCGCCCGTGATAACAAAAACGCAGGAGTCGCCATCTGTTCCAGGTCCTTCGAAGCAGTCTGGACGCGACGCGCTCTACGCCGAGGCTCTGTATAAGTACAAGGCTGAGTGGCTGGAGAGGTTTGAGTGGCTAATTCTACTGCGGCAATCTGACGGTCTCCCTGCTTTCAAATGCTCTATCTGTACCGAGCATGCAGGTTATGCTGGAAAGTGCGGGAAAGGCGGGAAGGGCGCCTCAGACGTACAGACTCAGGCGTTCAAGCGGCACGCGCAAACAACCAAGCACAAGGAGGCGGTCAAGAACCAGGCGAAGCTTCTTGCTGAAGCTGGCCGGCAGCCGCGTATCAACGGTGACAACCTCGCTCGTGACACCGAGAAGGAGCGGGTCATCAAGCTGTGTGACTCCCTCCTCTTCGTGACCAAGCAGGATGCACCCATAGAACTATGGGTGAACCTCGTTCGCTACCTCGCGGAGCAGAAGGTGCCGGGATTTCCCGCGAAAGGATACGGCACCTACTACACCACGTGAGTAAACGCCGGGTTTTCATGTTCTTCGTGTTGTGTGTGTTTAACTTTTGGGCACGCTCTAACCGTGATTCACATGCGCCACAGGTACGGCTTTGGCCAGCTCACACAGTCAATCGCGACATGGTTACACACCACGCAGCTCGAGCACATCCAAGCAAGCCCGTACATCGGACTCACTTGTGACGAGAGCACAGACAGGTGTCGAGGAAAACACATGATCCTTTTCGTTACTTTCATCCGTGAGAATCGACCGGTCACTGAGTTTCTGGCCCTGCTGACTGTGGAGAAGTGCGACGCTGCATCTCTCCTCTCAGTGTTTCTGTCTCACTTGCAGGCTCTCGGCATCGACCTTGCCCGGATCGCTGGTATAAGCACCGATGGGGCGAAGGTGATGATGGGACGCAAGAACGGCCTCGTCGTACGGCTTCGCCTCCGCGTTCCACATCTCGTCTCAAGCCACTGTGTTGCCCACAGGTACGTTTTTTGTTGCACCATGCGTAAACTGCTTGACGTGACTGTATCATCCTATGCTAATATCCTGTGTTGCTCGCTTGGGTTTTCTTGTGCCTGCAGGGAGGCGCTCGCAGCAAAACATGCAGCCCGGGCCCTTCCCGAGTTCGACATGGTTGACAGCCTGATCCGTCAACTCGCAGAGCATCTCGGCCGTTCCGGCCCCTGGCATCAACGCTTTATGGAGCTTCAAGAACTCTTCACGTCCACGAACCTGGAGCTTCAGGGGATTCACACGGTCCGCTGGCTCTCCAGGGGTGACGCTGTTTTGCGTCTGGTGGCCGTCTTCCCCGCGATCATCGTCATGCTGTACGAGTGGGACGAGACGCTGTACGAGCTCGCCACGAGCTACAGGTTTCACTTCCTCTTGTACTTCCTGGCCGACGTGCTCGAGCAGCTGAACATCCTGAACAAGTCTTTCCAGCAGCGAGAGGTGAGCGACTTGGCGTTTCCGTGTGTGCTTAACTTGTCTTGATGTCTTGTTATTGTATTTGTGGCTTTTGTGTGTGTTTGTCATTGCAGTTATATTGTTGACAGTCAAACAAAACATTATTTGTGTGAGAAAGCACCCCCAATCTCGACTGCCGTGTTTCCCGCAATGTTATTTCTTTCGCCCAAACATAGCTTGACATTGCAGGTGTGCACGTGCAGATCAGGAGAACCATCTCCTTCCTAGAGACCCGCTACGTCGACTGCGGCGATGATTTTGGGGGCGGGTTGAGCGCGCGCCTGTCCCCGTTCATCATGAAGTACGGGCCGGACAGTGACAACCCCGAGGTGACGGTGCAAGGAGTGGACTCAGACGGTCGGCCCACTAAACACACGTTCAAACTGCACGAGAACCCGAGCGAGGACTACCCAACGCTGGGAAATCACTACAACTGCGTGGATCTCTGCACCTCGTTTGCAGAGGCGCTCGTGCGCAACCTCACCAAGAGGTTTGCAGATTTGGACTCCCTTGTGGGAGTCCGGCTGTTCATGCCCGATGAGTACCCACCAGAGAGAGGAGAGCGCCACAAGCAGTGTCTCGAGTGGCTCATGTCACTCGTCAGGCTGTTCAGGGCAGTGGAGACAGACTACATCCTTCCTGGTAAGTGTTTATTGATTGTGCACCAGTGCTGTACTCAGCGTAACATTTTGAACGTAAAGTTCTGTGTTGGTGTCTGCCTCTGCCCTGTTGGTCAGTCATCCTAACGATCACTTATCTGCTTTGTCTGGCAGGGATCGACAAGCGCCGGGCGATCAAAGAGCTGCGAGCCTTTTGCCCCATCCTCGCAGGTGCCCCGAAGACCGAGAGAAGCTTCCATGCCGGCCTCACTGCGATGCTGAAGACAAGCGACTGGACGACCAGCTACCCCAACCTTGTGCGTCTCTGGGTCGCTGTCGCCGTACTGCCGCTGAGCACAGTGGAATGTGAGCGCGGGTTTTCCCGCCAAAACATCATCAAGTCGTGGCAGCGTGGGAGCCTCAAAGACGCCCGCCTTGAAGATCTCGTCACGATGTCGCTCCTCGAGTACGTGCCCGACTACAACGAAATCGTGCAGGTCTGGCGCAGCTACAAGAAGCGCCGGCCCTTTGGCAATGTGGCAGCAGCTCCAGCAAGAGAGGGGCAGGGTAGTGGCAGGGGAAAGGAGGCAGAGGCAGTACAGGAGTGGGAAGCAGAGCCAAAGGCTCAGGGGGGTGATGATGATGATGGCTCTGATTCCGATGATGATGCATGCATGACCCCTATTAGAGATTCTTAGATTATAACTGCAGCAACTCTTCTTGTGACTATTTATTTTAAATGTAGGAGTCTGAAATACAGTCAGTGTTTTTGCAAATGGTACACTGATGCATCAGGCTTTGAAAATTTGCAACACTGAACTTTCAGCTTTTTTTTTTTTGGGACACTGACAATCAGAGTTCCCACGCAGGGGGACCCTGATGGCCTGACGACCCTAAAAGTGAATCTGAGGCCCTGGTGCCATTGTGTCGATACACAGCTTGGTGCCATTGTGTCGATACACAGCTTGGTGCCATTGTGTCGATACACTGCTTGGTGCCATTGTGTCGATACACAGCTTGGTGCCATTGTGTCGATACACTGCTTGGTGCCATTGTGTCGATACACCGCAGAAACCTTATCCTCCCCCCCTCTCCCCCAATTGGCCCGATGGTTGGCTACGCCACTTGGGGCAGGCGGGTGGCCTCGCAGCCGGGGCAGTTGTGCAGGCTCTCGTGGATGAAGACGTCGCAGTCAAAGCAGAAGTGCCGCGCACACGAGGGGCACTCCACCCGCACTCCCCCTCCCTCCGTCTCTGCGCACAGTGACACGGTCAACAGTCAGTCAAAGGTTAGTCAGTGGGCAGCAGTGGACTGGCAGGTGGAAATCAAGACTGAGCAGACATGCTGGCAGCGAGGACGGGTAGACAGAGGATGGAGGTGGGTGAGGCAACAAATGACCCGAATGACTGGCCCTACCCCCAGCAGCGCATGCTCACCGAGGAAAGGCAGTGCAGCAGTGCAGCTGAAGCAGGCGGGCGGCAGGTCGCTGTGCGGGGCTGCAGGGGCTGACGACCCAGCAGGTCGCTTAGGAGCGGGCGGCAGAGGGACCTCGGAGAAGGGCGGCACGGGGAAGAGGTGGTGGTAGGAGCGGGCGAGGTGCGGCGAGGACACGAGCGTGAGCGCACACACGGGGCACTCCGCTGGCAGCGCACACACCCGCGAGCTGGGGGGTGGGGGGAGAGGTTTGAGGGAGGGAAAGGGAGGAGGGAGGAGGAGAGGGGAGGAGGGGGAAGGAAGGCAAGTGGCATGAGGTGGGCGAAGTTGGGCCTTGGCTTGCAGCTGTGAAAGGGTGGGATGAAGAAATGCAGGGACAATGTGGGGTGGGGTGAGGGGGAAGCGAGAGAGAGGGGGAAGAAGGCGAGCACGTTGGAGATGGCAGGTGGAGGAAGTGATGGCAGGTGGAGGAAGTGATGGCAGGTGGAGGAAGTGATGGCAGGTGGAGGAAGTGATGGCAGGTGGAGGAAGTGATGGCAGGTGGAGGAAGTGATGCAGATGAGATGCAATGGGAATGGGTGGTAAGAAGAACATGGCTTTCAGAGAGGGAGTGAGTGGCGTCTGGGAGCATAGCACCTGAACTTGCAAGTGGGGCACACATAATGGCACTTGGGGCACACATAACGGCACTTGGGGCACACATACCGGCACCTAGGGCACACATACCGGCACCTGGGGCACACATAGGTGGCGGCGAGGCGGAGGTGCATGTGGCAGGCGCACAGCGCTGCTGCCCCCTCGGGGGCGCGCTGGGGGAAGCCCATCCGCACGAGGCTGGCCGCACTGCCCGCACTGCCCGCCTGCACCGGTGGTGGCGGCGCGTGGCTCATCAGCAGCTCCCTCAGATGAGCCTGGGGGGGGAGGGAGGATGAAGCAGGGTGACGGGAACAATGCGGAGGGCAGAGGATTGGAGAGACAAAGAAAGGCAGGGAGGACAGAGACGGAAGGAGGCAGGATTCAGAAGCACACGCAGCAGGTCGGATACAGAACGAGACAACAAGAGCACCAAAGTCAGAGGCCAAATGAGAAAGACTTTACCGATTTCCAGCTGAGTTTTGCTTGCTCCATGGGGCAATTGGGCAAGAATAGAGCCTCACAGGGCTCACGTCATCCCTGCCTCACGTCATCCCTGCCTCACGTCATCCCACGGGCCTCACGTCATCCCACGGGCCTCACGTCATCCCACGGGCCTCACGTCATCCCACGGGCCTCACGTCATCCCACGGGCCTCACGTCATCCCACGGGCCTCACGTCATCCCACGGGCCTCACGTCACCCCCCACAGCCCCGCGGGCCTCACGTCATCCATGGCGACGCTGTAGCGCCCGCCCGTCTGCTCGGCGATCTGGCGGCAGATGTGCACCTCGGCGCCGCCCACGCCGATGATGGAGCACCGCAGGTGGGCGGCGCACGCGCGGCGGATGGCGGGCAGGATGTCGCCGGGGTCGGTGGAGGCGAGCGCCGCGAAGAGCAGCAGCAGCTCGCGGTGGCCGTACGCCGGCACGTGCGCCACCGCCTCCACCGCCGCCTCCACCACGTTCTGCCGTACGAGGAGGGGCAAAAGAGAGGCGTGCGTGTGGGTGGGAGAGGCGTCACGCGTGGAGTGGATAAATAACACATGGTGAGACGACAGGGTAGCACCGTGAAACGTGATGGAGTTTGAGTTCAAGGCATTGTAGCACGTGGGTGTGATTGTATGCGACATTTAAGGGCGAAACATCACAGGCAGGCATGATGGATGGTCACGTCTCTTGGGTGGTACCTGCAGGGAGGCGGGTGGTACCTGCAGGGAGGCGGGTGGTACCTGCAGGGAGGCGGGCCCCGAGGCGGAGAGGTTGGACTGCAGCGCCTTGATGTGCGCGTCGGGCGGCGAGGTGAGCTCTGAGAGCTGCGAGGCCACGCCGTCGCGCAGCAGCAGCAGGGCGAGGTGGCTGAGGGGGTTGCTGTCGAAGAAGTTGAGGATGAATGCCTCGCTGCTGCGCGCCATGGCTGCCATGCGCGATGGCTTCATGTCCACCTCACTCGCCGCCTGCCTGCCATGCAGGGACGTGAGGCGAGGTGCCATGCCATGCCATGTCATTCCACGCCATTGTGGGATGGACATGGGTAGGAGATATGATAAAGACTTGCTGACAGCACTCTACCGCACACAGTGCAACGGTGTGTGACGACATGAAAGTAAGGCCACCTATCCCATGAGCGACATGGCATGGCACCAGTCATCACATCACAGCCCGTGTCACCTCCAGCAGCCCAAGAGCGGCCCACCCACCCGGGAGAAGTCGAGAGCGAGCACGAGGTAGCGGATGATGCCGCGCCTCACCCGCTGCGCCCCCCCCCCGCCCCGCCTGCCCTGCCTGCTGCCGTCGCCGCCTCTCCCTTTCGCTGCGCTGCTGCCCCGCCACGTCCACCGGCCGCAGCCGCCCACTCTCGTCCTCCTGGGCGCACCGGGAAATGGGGAAAAAGGGTTGTGCGTGGGGGAGGGGAAGGGGGAAGAGTGAGGGGAGGGATAGGAAAGTGGGTTGGGGGAGGGGGAGGGTGGCATGTGCAGGGAATGCAAACCTGGACGTTGAATTTGGAGTGCAAGGGCAGTTAGTGCAAGAGCAGTGAGTGCAAGGACCAGCCCTGACCTGCACGGCCTCCCAGGAGCGCTCTCACCAGCACGGCCTCCCAGGAGCGCTCTCACCTGCACGGCCTCCCAGGAGCGCTCTCACCTGCACGGCCTCCCAGGAGCGCTCTCACCTGCACGGCCTCCCAGGAGCGGTCGTTGGCGTAGGAGCGCTCCCACGCCTCCTGCTCGCGCATGGCGTCCTCCGCCGCCACCTCCTCCTCCTCCTCCTCCACGTTGTACGCCACGTCCACCCGCCGCGCCTCCCCGCGCTTCATCGCTCCTGCAGCTGGGCGTGTACAGTGGTTTGGTACCAGGTGTTGCTCGATAACTGACAGGACACTCTAATGTGAATCAAATCGAAACTCCCGGGCTAATTGCAAGTTGTCGGCAGAGACTAATGCTTTGTCGGTACTCTCAACTTGCGGCTCTGATAGCGAAGCCTAACAGCAAAGCTATTTGGACGCTGCTTGCTACGAACGATCCGCTAACCTGATGGCAAGGGGGCGGAAGGGAAGGGAATGAAAGGGACAGAGAGAGACGGATTCAAGGAAGTGAAGGACAGGAGAGAGGGGGGGAGGAGGTGAAAGGGATAGAAGGGAAGGGAAGGGAAGGGAAGAGAAGAAGGGATGGGAAGTGAACGGAAGGGAAGAGATTGGAAGTGAAGTGAATGGAAGGGAAGAGATTGGAAGTGAAGTGAATGGAAGGAAGGGAGTGAAGGGAAGGGAAGAACGGAAGGGCAGTGAAAAAGAGGATGGGATGGGAAGGGAAGGGAAGGGAAGGAAAGGATTGGAAGCGGGGGGGAACGGAGAGAAGGTGTGAGGGCTGGTGAGGGGAGGGAAGGGAGGCGAGGGAAATGTAGGGGATGCAGTGTGCACACTCACCCCTTGTAGAAGTAAATGAACTTGTCCCCCCCTCCCCGCCCCCCACCTTGTCCCACAGTAGCACTCGCTGGGGCGCAACGGCCCACGCTTGAAGGGCACTGAAGGGAGAAAGAGGGAATAGGAGTGGAGTGGGGGAAGGCGTGACAAGGGGGTGGGGCCGGATGTGGGGAACTGCTTCATCTATTTTCGCTCACAGCCATTGGAGGGATGAGAAGGGAAGGGAATGGATTGCAAGTGAAGGGAAGGGAAAGGATGGGAAGGGAAGGGAAAGGATGGGAAAGGGAAGGGAAAGGATGGGAAGGGAAGGGAAAGGATGGGAAAGGGAAGGGAAAGGATGGGAAAGGGAAAGGATGGGAAGGGAAGGGAAAGGATGGGAAGGGAAGGGAAAGGATGGGAAGGGAAGGGAAAGGATGGGAAAGGGAAGGGAAAGATGGGAAGGGAAGGGAAAGGATGGGAAGGGAAGGGAAAGGATGGGAAAGGGAAGGGAAAGGATGGGAAGGGAAGGGAAAGGATGGGAAAGGGAAGGTGAGGAAAGGGAGGGGAATGAGCGTGAGAGAGAAGGACAGGGGAGAATAGGGAAGGGAGGAGCGTGAACGGAACGGGCATAGGAGCGAAGGGCAGTGAGGGGAAGCGAAGGGCAGTGAGGGGAAGCGAAGGGCAGTGAGGGGAAGCGGCTCTGGTTGTACGAGAAGGTGGGAGAGGGGTGGAGCGGGACAGGATGTTAACGAGACGAGACGGGATGGGGCAGGACGGGACGAGAAGGGAAGGGAAGGGATGGGAAGGGAAGGGAAGATATGGGACAGGAAGGAAGGACCTAGGGAAGGAAAGGGCAGGGTGGGGGGGAGAGAGAACGCAAGAGAAGGAAGGAAATGAAAGGGAAGGCAAGGCATTTTACAATGCAAGGACGGACGGATTTAGGGAAGGGAGAGCAGGGGGAAGTGGGGGGGGGGGTGAGAAGGGGGTGTGAATGGAATAGAAGGGGAGGAAAGGGAAGGAAAGGAAAGGGACGGGAAGGGACGGGAAGGGATGGGAATGTCAGGGGAAGGGGGGATTGGTAACGCAAGGACGGGAATGGAGGGGAAGGGATGGGAAGGGGAGGGACGGATTTAGGGATTGGAAGGACAGTGCACGGCTGATGGCGCTGAACTATGGTGGGAGGGACGAGAGGAGGGGAGGCGCCACGAGGATAGGGAAGGCGCGACGAGGGGAGGGGAGGCGCGACGAGGGGAGGGAAGACGCGACGAGGGGAAGGAAGGCGCAACGAGGGGAGGGGAGACGCGACGATGATAGGGAAGGCGCGACGAGGGGAGGGGAGGCGCGACGAGAGGAGGCGCGACGAGGGGAGGAGGGGGGGCCGACGACATTAGGGGGTTGCGACGATCGGAGGGGACGCGCGAGAAGGGGCTACACTCACCCTCGCGAGCTTGTGTATACGCTTGTAAAGTTTCCTCTTCTTAATATCTACAGAGCGCCGAATGCGCTTACGGGAGATTCATCTGGCGCATTTTCTCACTCTCTGGAAAACGACGTAAGTACAAGTTAGGACGTGTCTCACTTTGGCTGGTCCGCCAGTTCGCCCAAACCTGGTCCGTCCCTGAATTTGTGCCTACAGAAATACCCTGGACTGGTCCGTCGGACCAGGGTGGACCAACCGAGTGAACCAGCTTCGGACTCATTGTTGTTGGGTCCGCAGATCCACTCTACAGTAGCGTGTAGGCGAGAGAAACTGGGTTACCAAGACGGAAGACTGTACAGTACACTTGCGCAGCTTCTCCCTGACGCGTGTGGGCGCCAAAATTTTGCGACAGGGAGAGGTGATTTCGTGAGTGTTCGCCAATACTATGACTGTTCAGGGGTCCGACGTGGACCAGCTCGCTGAACCTGGATATCCTCCCCATTATAGTCCCTTTCGCCCGCTAAATCGAGGGTGCTGGTTTGCTACACCCACGGTCCACATTGCTAAGAGAACGGGTCCACGCTTGGGTCCTATGTGGTTTGGTGGACTGGTCCCCATCGACCGCATAGAGCCAGGGTGGACCGAGGGATTTGTGACGCCTTCTTAGGGCCTGTAACTTTTTCTCTTTCTATCGTCCGGACAGGGACCCTGTCCGGACTTTTGTAGGGTAACTAATTTTGCTAAAACTCGTTGAAAGCTTCGTAAGAACCTATGCGATGTCGCCACCGTCCGGACCATGTTGTCAGAATGTTATGCTCTAGCCTGTAGTGGGTGCTCTATAGCGAGTACAACCCTTCTAGGGTTTGCTATTTGTATCCTCATTCCTGTTAGTGAACCCCTCTTTTTGCCTAAACTGTTTCTTGCCCAGCTAGGGCTTTCCTAGCTATGGCGCCTTCTTCTACACCTTATTTTCACACATGTTTGACACTTTTCACCCAAAAAATGGTCCGGACCATACTGTTCATACCGTCAAAACGACAGTTCGGACCATCCGTCTTTACTGCGATGTCATTGGCGCCCGAATCTATTGAAACTTTCATCCAATACGGAGCCGCAATATAATTGTGACGAAACTCGATATTGTCCACAGTTTAGTAATCCGTGTGACATTTTGAAGCGAAAATCAAAATTTTCGATACAGCAAAAGGTTTCACATTTGTGGTCCGGACAAGCCGTCGTCCGGACCCGAGTCCCAAACGTCCGGACGCAGCTCCGTTCGGACGTTTTGGGGGCTCTGTTCGGACTTTTGACCAAAACGAAAAAAGTTACACGCCCTTAGGGCGCGGTGAATTGATTTTGAGAGGGGAAATATGAGAAGAGTAGTAAAAAGGGCCTCCATAACATTCTTGGTTAAAAAACAAAATCTAACTCACACCAAAAGGTGTGCATTCTCTCATAGTCATTAACCCCCAGGTTACAGGTGTTGAAATGAATGAACAGGAATGAATGAACTAACAGTGAAAACAGTACAAGTACCTAACCTTAGAATTGTGTACCCCCTATAGGCTAACCCACTATAGCCTAAACAAGCACAACATATATAATGTTTGACACACCCCCATAGGCGAAGTGGGGAGAACTGGGGGTCACAAGACCAGTCAAGGCAAAGTAAGGCAAAACAAGCTCAGGGTGGATCTCAAGGATACCACACAAATTCCGAGCACAAGAACGTGGTCACAAGACCAGTTCACATGCAGGTTTATAATAGAACAAGAGGTACAATGAATTACAACCTAGCAAGAGTAAACACGAAGGTATATATATATATATAGAGATCACAGTACAAACAAACTGAAGAAGTAAGCAAGTGAGGTCTAGTAGGCACAAGGCCTAGAAGAGTGCAAAAGCGCTGATGGTGACAAGGCTGAAGCGCCTTGGTGAACACATCAGCAGTATTGGCCTCAGAGGCCACGTAACGCAGACGAAGCTGACCACGCTGCTGCAGCTCTCGAGCAAGGAAGTAGCGCAGAGCAATGTGCTTCGTTCTGTGCTCCAGTCTGTGCTCCTCACACAAGGCAATGGCTGCCTTATTGTCGACGTACAGCACTGAAGGAGAACAAGGCCGCTCTCCAAGATCGGTCAGCAAGTAGGTGAGCCAGCGTAGCTCCTGGGCCGCCATGGCTGTGGCGTAGATCTCAGCCTCACAACTGGAGCTGAGAACAGAAGAAGAGCGAGTAGAACGCCAAGAAACTGAACCAGAGCCAAGACAGAAGGTGTAACCCTGAGACGACCGCTGAGTAGCCTGGTCGTCTGCCCAAGAAGCGTCTGAGTGCCAAGTGAGAACAATTGGGACTCGCCCTCCAAGCACTAGCCCCATGCCCGACGTACTGCACAAGTAGCGCAACACCCTCTTAGCTGCATCCATGTGCTCCTTCCGGTGACGGCCGGGAGCGACATAGCGTGCAAGAATGCCGAGAGGGTATGCAAGGTCTGGTCAAGTGCAGGTCATCAGGTACATGAGGCAACCCACAAGCTCTGGATACGGGCCACTCGGCTCTACAGACTCATCCGAAGGCAGAGCTGAGAGCGAGTGACCGGTAGGCAGAGGAGTGGGCTCAGGCGAGGAGTACGTGAGCGGAAGCGCTGAAGGACCTGCTGCACCATGTGTGACTGAGTCAAGGTGATGGTGCGGCGTGCTCTGTCCCGGGTGATCCGCTAGCCAAGATAGCTTGTCAGTTCACCCAGGTCTGTGCACGTGTGTCTCCTCTGCAGCTCCGACTTCACGTGGGCGAGTGCCACAGTGTCAGCAGTGGCAAAGACCAAGTCGTTGACGTACACGAGGATGTAGAACGGCGGCAGTGAGGCGTCGGTGCGTAGAAACAACGACGGGTCAGCAGTAGAAGGCGCGAACCCAAGAGCCGCAAGTGTAGTCCTCAGTGTGTCGTGCCACTCACGTGGCGCCTGGCGAAGACCGTAGACTGGTCGCCTGAGGCTCCAC